CGACCACATGTAGTACAGAATTGAGACAGAAGGTGGCTTCCAGTTAGTTAATTGATGGTTTACATGTTGTCATAGACCTAGGTTCCTCATCTTTTTGCTCTGCCATCTGTGCTGTATAGGCTTGGTGTCCTCGGGTGGTTTTCCTCATGGGCTCTTATTGGCTGCTGTGGCTCCAGGCATCACATCCCAATGACAGCTTCCCAAGGCAGAAGAAAGAGAACATAGGACTGCTATTTCCCACATGGTAGGGGGATTGAAAGGGGGCGACGTGTGTTTGTGGCGGTGTCTACAAATTGAGCATTGCTGGAGTCGATGAAGCCACGGTGGTGAGGTGGCAGACTCAGATTTCCAGGGCTTTGAATGCTGAGCACAGGAGAGTGTCACATGGCCGGGGATGGGTTCTGAGCAGAAGAGCGGCACAGTCAGGCTGTGGCTCAGTGAGGAGGGTTTGGGGACAACCGGGCAGGAAGTTTGCTTGTTCCCAGACCATGGGAGTGGAGATGCTGCCTCCACTGCATGGGTTGCTGGGGCAAGAGCGGGGAGCAGGACAGACAGAGGTCGGACACACAGTGGGGTGCGAGAGTGTCCTGGAGTTGCCGTGACAAAGTGCCGCAAGCTGGGTGGCTTAAGACAACAGAAATTTATTCCCTCACAGGCCTGGAGGCCAGAAGTCCAAAGTCAAGGTGTCAGCAGGGCTGCTTCCTTCTGGAGAGTTTGAGGGAGAATCGGTTCCATGTGTCTCTTCCAGCTTCCAGTGGCTTCTAACAATGCTTGGCGTTCTCCTTGGCTTGTAGCCGTGTCACTCCAGGCTCTGCCTCTGTCTTCACGTGGCTGCCTCCTCTGTGTCTCTGCGTCATCTCCTTCTCTCTCTTAGGGGGGCAGCAGTCATTGGATTTAGGGCCCACCCTCAATCGAGGAAGATCTCCTCGCAAGATCTTCAATTAAATTACATTTGCAGGCCGGCGCGGTGGCTCACGCCTGTGATCTCAGCACTCCGGGAGGCCGAGGCGGGAGGATCGCTTGAGCCCAGGAGTTGGAGGCTGCAGTGAGCTGTGATGACTCCACTGCCCTCCAGCCTGGGCGACAGAGCGAGACCCTGTCTCTTAAAAAAAAAAAAAAAAAAAAGGACAAAGAAGCAAAGGATGAGAAGGAGCCACCATGGGGGGTGGGGGACTGCCACAGAGTATTCCAGGCAGTGGCAACTGCAAGAGCAAAGGCCCTGGGGCAGCCAGTGCTTGAGGAGCCAGGGGAAGAGGAGGGGGACGATGAGGTGGGCGGGGCAGGGCCATGGGGAGCCTCCCAGGACCCAGGGATGGCATTTTTTTTTTTTTTTTTTTTTTTTGAGACAGAGTCTCCCGGGCTAGAGTGAGTGCCATGGCATCAGCCTAGCTCACAGCAACCTCAAACTCCTGGGCTCAAGCGATCCTCCTGCCTCAGCCTCCCGAGTTGCTGGGACTACAGGCACATGCCACCATGCCCGGCTAATTTTTTCTATATATTTTTAGTTGTCCAATTAATTTCTTTCTATTTTTAGTAGAGATGGGGTCTCGCTCTTGCTCAGGCTGGTTTCGAACTTCTGAGCTCAAACAATCCGCCCGCCTCGGCCTCCCAGAGAGCTAGGATTACAGGCGTGAGCCACCGCGCCCGGCCTAATTTTTGTATTTTTTGTAGAGACGGGGTCTCGCTGTTGCCAGGCTGGTATTGAACTCCTGATCTCAAGTGATCTTCCTGCCTGGGGCTCCCAAAGTGCTGGGATTGCAGGTGTGAGCCACCGCGCCGGCCTGCAGAACTCTTCACCTTGTAAAACTGAATCTCTATTAAATCCTTGGCGGGTTGCCTTTGTGCTGTAGTTTACAATGGTAAATGCACCCATTCTTAGTGTCCAGTTGGGTTTTTTCCCCCAGAGGTCCACACCCAGGAGACCGCCACAGTCAAGATATAAAGCATTCCCATCTCCCCAAAAGTCCCCTGGTGCCATAGGATCCCTCCTTCCTGTCCCTGGGGCCCTAGGTCTCTGTTGATCTTACCTCTCACACCAGATCAGGTTTGCCTGTATACAGTAGGTGCTCACTGTGTGGGGATGAGTGTGGGGATCTGTGCCTCTATACTGGACACCGTGGAGGGGAAGGATGCAGTCATCTGGCCTCTGTTTACTGAGCAACTATTATGTGCCAGGCTCCATTCAGATCTGAAGGACGTCACTCCCCTGGGTGCTCGCAACCCATCTGGCAGCCAGTGGGGGCAGTACAGGGCACAGCGGGGCCCAGACAAGGACACCTTTCTTTTTCTTTTTTCTTTCTTCAAGAGATAAGGTCTCCCTATGTTGCCCAGGCTGGACTCAAACTCCTGGCCTCAAGCAATCCTCCCCCCTCAGCCTCTCAAGTAGCTGGGACTACGAGCTTGAGCCACCATGTCCCTGGTTTCACCTTTCTGGAACTTCTTTTATCTGGCTGCTGTCCTGCAGTGCGGCGTCTCTGAGGTTCTCATGGAGATGTTTGATCTGATCACCCTCTGGGACTCTCATTTGGAGTCGTTCATTTCGCAGGGGTGGGCGAGCTGCCCCAACAGCAAAAAGCAGGCCTGGCGGCCCGAACCTGCTCAGGCCTTGGGGCTTTGCCTGTGTGTCCCCACCTCCGTCCCTATGCCTGGCCCCTCTGCAGAGTGGCTTTGCCCCAAGACCCTGCTCATGTGTGGGTGCCCCTGCCCTTGCCAAGGATTCGGCTGGCAACGGGGGCGGCCGCTCCCTCCTTCGGGCTGCAGAATTCAGGTCTGACCTGAGAGCCCAGATGCGTCTCTTTCCTCGTGGGATTTTTCATGGCAGGCGCTCTGTGTTCCGGGAGGGCGGGGCCGTGGGCTGTTTCGTCCCCTGCTGTCTCTCTGGGGCTGGAACATAACAGGTGCAAGCCCCTGTCTGCCTGGAGCCGGGAGAGACAGGCCAAGGACAAGGCTGTAAATGAACACACTGCCCTTGGCGTTTGAAGGGCATGAGTGCCATGGAGAAAAAAATAAAGCAGCGATGGGGGACAGGAGCATAGAAGGTAGGGCAGTAACAGACGGGGTTCCAGGAACGGCCATCCGAGGTGGCACTTGCATGTTGGGCAAGAGTGTTCCAGTCAGCGGGCATAGGGCCTGTGCAAAGGCCCTGAGGCAGGATCCTGCCAGTTGTGTTCAAGGAACAGCGAAGAGGAGGGTGTGGCCAGAGTGGGCGAATGAGGAGGGATGGAGGGGGAGGAGGCTCTGTCTCCATCACCGTGGGTGCTTGCCCTGTGCAGGCCTGCCGCTAAGCAGATGCTCACCATTTTAGGAAAGAATGAAAGAGCTCGTGCTCTGCAGCTGACTGCTAGGGAGGGCAGGCACGCTGGGTTCCAGGCCAGGGGCGTGAACACAGCAGTCCAGTGTCTGTTCACTGAGCACCCACCAGGCACCAGGCTCCTTGGCTGACGCAGAGATGCAGCTTCCTTGGGGTGCTCACAGTCTGGGGGGAATGGAACCATGACTGGGTGATTCTCTGCACGGGGGTGGGCTCCCAGAGTGGACAAGAGAATATTCCCTGAGGCCAGCCAGTGCCCAGCTGACCAAGTCTGGCTCCATCTGGGGGAATCTGTGTTGGGGTGGGGCAGCAGTAGACGTGACACAGGGGCCAACCCCTTGCAGGTGCCTGGAGGGCTTCCTGGAGGCGGTGGCGAGGACGCTGGGAGGAGCCCAGTGAGTGGGCGGGTCTGTGGGGGCTGGCCAGTGGCGTGTGTAGGGGGTGGTGGTGGCGTCGAATTGCAAGGACCTCAGCACTCTGGTCCCATCCCGAGGGTAGCTGGAGGGCCCTTCCAGAGGCTTCCAGGACAAGTGTTTGACCCAAGCAAGAAATCTCATACATCTCACCAGAATCCTGAACCCTTGTTTTTGGAAACTGCAGAAGTTCTCTCAGACCCCACCAGCCTCCTGTCTGCAGGGCTCCCATCGTGACCCCTCCTGCCCACCTCAGACCTCGTCCCCTCCGTCTGCGCCACCCCGATTCCGCCACAGCAACCTCCACTCCGATCTTCAAATGCGCCTCGTTCCCAGGCCCGTTCCCACCTCAGGGCCTTTGCACTCGCTGTGCCCTGGCTCTCCCACAGCCACTCCTTCTCACCTCGCCAGGTGGCACCTGCCTCTCTTTCGAGGCCTCTCCTGCCCCTGCCCTGGTCCACGTCGCTGTGACCACACCGCCCCTCGCAGCCTGGTCACCATGCAGCACCGTCGGTGCTCATTCCCGTACGTGGAGGGGCCGCTCTCCCCAGAGCACTGTGGGCCGCTGAGCATGCGGCTTGGTGGTCTTTGTCCACCGCTCTGTCCCAGAGCTGGGAAGAGTGCCTGGCACAGCAGGCTCGGGGACGCCTCGGCAGCCTGCCAGGCGAAGGAGGGAATGGAGGGAGGAGGACGAAGGGGATGAACGATGAAGGAAGGAGGGGACGAACGAAGGGGCGAGGGGACGAGTGAAGGAAGGAGGGAAGGAACGATGCATGGCGGGATGAATGCGTGTACGTCGGTGCCGAGATCACCGCAGCCTCCGCAGGGGTGGGGGAGGCGGGGAGGCAGTGGAGCACGCAGGGTGGGCCTGGCGGTGACTGACGCTAAGCCGGTGGGCGGCGGTGGCCAGACGGGCCGAGGAAGGGGCGGGCGCAGCGGAGACGCCGCCCCGTGTCAGTCAGGACAGACACGGCCTGTGCCGGTGGCTAACCCCGCACGAGGCCACCTCTCAGAGCCAAAGGTCAGGGTGGCGGGGCCCCAGGCCAGCCGGGGGGGAGGGCAGAGTGACCGGTTTACACGGCCGTGGCCAGGCTGCTTTGAGGAGAACACCTGCTTCCAGGCTGTCGGGAACTGGCCCCCGAGAGTCCGCCACCGAAAGCGTTAACTGCGAATCTCGCCAGAGCTCTCCAGATGGGGAGGCCGAGGCTCAGGGACGCAGTCTTCCCGAGGACAGGCGGAAGAGGGCGCCAGTGACTCTGTCCTCTGTCCCCCCGCAGCGGCCTGTCTGTGCTGATCCGCGTGCGCCTGGAGCTGCGAGGGCATCAGCGCGCTGGCCGCACCGTCCCGGGCATCTTCCAGGCGGTGGCCCGGCTGCAGCCCGAGCGCCCGGCCCTGGTGGACGCCGGCAGTGGCGCGTGCTGGACCTTCGCGCAGCTGGACGCCTACTCCAACGCCGTGGCCAACCTCTTCCTCCAGCTCGGCTTCGGCCCGGGCGACGTGGTGGCTGTCTTCCTGGAGGGCCGTCCCGAGTTCGTGGGGCTGTGGCTGGGCCTGGCCAAGGCGGGCGTGGAGGCCGCGCTGCTCAACGTTAACCTGCGGCGCGAACCTCTGGCCTTCTGCCTGGGCGCCTCGGGCGCCAAGGCCCTGGTCTTTGGTGGAGAAATGGCAGCGGGTGAGGCCAGGCGCGGGCGTCAGGCGGGCGGGGGGAGATGCTGGCCCCAGGCCCGAGAAGGGGAGAGGGGCCTTCCTGGATGTGGCCACGAGGCACGTGCTCTGGGGCAGCCCCAGGGCAGGGAGGTGGTGCATCCAGGCCTTGGGAGGGGCCCGTCCAGCTGTGACCTTGATGCTCGTTTCGGACCTCAGCGGTGGCAGAGGTGAGCGGTCAGCTGAGGAGGAGCCTCCTTAAGTTCTGCTCTGGAGACTTGGGGCCCGAGGGCGTCTTGCCGGACACGCACCTCCTGGACCCGCTGCTGAAGGAGGCCTCCACCGCCCCCCTGGCACAGCCCCCCAGCAAGGGCATGGACGGTGAGTCCTGGCGGGACCCGTGCACGCCCACCCTGCCGCCGGGCTCCCTGCCCACCCAGCCCGTCCCCAACGCTCCGTCTCCCGCAGATCGGCTCTTCTACATCTACACGTCGGGGACCACGGGGCTGCCCAAGGCTGCCATCGTCGTGCACAGCAGGTGAGGGGCCTGCGGGTGTGTCCCTGAGACCCCGAGAGTGGCCCAGAATGTCTCCACAGCCTGACCCGCCCCCCGCTCCTGTGGGGTCTTGTGGACATCTCGGGCCCCAGTCCGGTGAAAGTCACAGCCCATCTCAGGATACTGCTCCCCTGTGCCCAGTGCTCTGGGACCGCTCTGTTCCCCCTTCCCCACATCCAGCCCATCAGGGGGACCCGTCGCCTCGTTCGTCCTCTTTGCTCCATGCCCCAGCCCCGACCTGCCCCAGCACCGCCTCGGCTCCTGCTCCTGCCCCCCGTGGCCCAGTTCCCCCCAGCAGCCACAGGAGGAGTTAAAATCCTGAATCAGGCCGGGTGCAGTGGCTCACACCTGTAATCCTAGCACTTTTGGAGGCCAAGGTGGGAGGCTTGCTTGAGGCCAGGAGTTCGAGACCAGCCTGGGCAATACAGTGAGACCCAGTCTCTACAAAAAAAATAACATAACAAGACTTTGTCTCTACAAAATAAAAAATATATATTAGCCAGGCATGGTGGTGCGTGCCTGTAGTCCCAGCTACTTGGGAGGGTGAGGTGGGAAGATGACTTGAGCCCAAGAGTTTGAGGTTACAGTCAGCTGTGATCATGCCACTGCATTCCAGCCTGGCATTCCCAAATCAGACCTCCCTGCACCTGCCCTGGTCTCCAGAATAAAACCGATTCTCAGATCGTCCAGGCTGTGCCACTTCCCTGATGTCATCTGCTCCCCTTCAGCCCTTGCTCACTCCTCCTCAGCCCCTCAGACTACCTGAAACCCACACGCTCCTTCCAGCCTCAGGGCCTTTGCACATGCTGTGCCCTCCGCCTGGGCACCCTTCCAGAGCATGCCCTATAGCTCCCTCTCGCTAGGATGAGACCATGCTTTGCCTCCCAGACAGGATCCCCCAACCTCCCTGGCTGTGTCACCATCAGTCCCTTTGCCAGTTCACCCTGTGACATCCCTCTTGGCACCTAGCACCAGCAACAGTTATTTTCTTTATTTGCCGCATGTTCCCTCTGTGGCCAGCCTGGGAGCCCCATGTGAGCTAGGATGGCTCTGCCGGGTCTGCACCCAGCACGCTTACCCACCCTGTACCCTAGGGGCTTTAGGTCCCAGCCCCTGCCCTCCTGGCCCCGCAGGTACTACCGCATTGCCGCCTTCGGCCACCACGCCTACCGCATGCAGGCCACCGACGTGCTGTATGACTGCCTGCCCCTGTACCACTCGGCAGGTATGGCGGGGCAGCCCGGTGGTGGGGGACTGCGGGTGGGCGCCGGGGGACCCCTGACGGAGCCCGCCGTCTGCAGGGAATATCATGGGTGTGGGACAGTGTCTCCTCTACGGGCAGACCGTCGTCCTCCGCAAGAAATTCTCAGCCAGCCGCTTCTGGGACGACTGCGTCAAGTACAACTGCACGGTCAGGCCCCGCCCCTCCCCGTCAGGCCCCGCCCAGCCACTGCCTGTGGGTCCACCATCATGGCGGGGCCTGCTTCCCTCTGTCCCGGGATATCCAGAGTGGCTGCTTAGGATGGGGACGGAGAGGGCAGCCAGTGTGCCCTTGAGCACTGGCTCTGTGTCCAGTCCTGGGCTAAACCCTCCAGGTGTGAACTTATTGCAGTCCTCATAACTGCTTGGGAGTGGGCAAAGGCATCACACCCATTTTGCAGGTAGGGAAACTGAGGCTTGTGATCTGCTGGGATTGGGCCCAGGGTGTGTGAGCTCTTCAAGCTCCTTAAGGCGCTGCCTTCCCTGTGCCCTGTGCCCTATGGGTCTTCCCTGCTGGTGACTGCAGGAAAATGAGACCAGGGCTGGGGTCCCCTCCTGGGGTGTAGAGGGCTACAGGCTGGGGCTTCCGGGTGGGGTAAGCCTGGGGGGCATCTGCTGTGCCGGGGAGAAGAGCAGGTCAGGGTTAAGAGAAGACAGCAATTGTCTTTCCCCTCCACGGTGAGAGGAAACCAGGCTGCGGGTTTCAGACTCAGGCGACACGGGTGGGGGCACCTGGCCCGAGGTAGTGCTGGCCCAGGGAGCAGGGCCGGCTGGGTAAGGAGAAGAGAGCACAGGGAATGTGCAGGGCTGTGGCAAGTGAGCAGGCGCCAACTCACCTCGGACAGGTGGGCCCAGAGAGGTTCAGCCACTTGCCCACGGCCCACAGCGGGGCCCAGGGCTCTCTGGGCTGAGGATCCTGGGGACCCTGCAGGGTCAGCGACAACTGTGCTTTGCTCCGCTTTCAAGGGTTTTACCTTCTGCCTGGGGGGTCTTGGGGAAAACTGCAAAATAGTCTTTTTTTTTTTTTTAAAAAAAAGTTAATTATCGCGAGTTGGAAACATACATAACGGTGGGCAGAAAAGTATGGGGCGTTCTGGCGCAGCCCTGAGCCGGTCCCGGGGCCCGCCCCATGGCCAGTCCTGCCCCTCCGCCTGCAGCCACCTCCCTCCCCTGCACGGCTGCGAAGCAGCCCAACAGCGGACAGCCGGGCGGTGCGCTTCCTGCGTGGAGGCGTCAGGACAGCCTCTGAAAGGTGAGGACTTGTTTTCTTAAACTGAAGTGAAAATCACATAAATTAGCTACGTTAAAGTGAACAATTCAGTGGTGTTCACAGTGTCGTACAATCACCACTCTATGTAATTCCAGAACATTCTCATGCCCCCTGCAAAAGGAGAACCCATCCCCATTAGCAGTCAGTCTTCACACCCCTCCCCCAGCCCCTGGCAGCCACCACTTTGCTTCCCACCTCTCCTGATTGGCCTGTTCTGGACACTTCATACCAATGGACTCACACACTGTGTGGCCTTTGTGTCTGGTAAGGAGTGTTTTTAGATGACACTGATTTCTCGGTGCCATCAGGAATCTGGCAATGGCCCAGTCCTGTGTCTCACCATGTCAAAAATGTGTTTGTTCTATAATTTCAAAAAGAATCAACAGACAACCCGCATTATGACCGGTTGATGTGTCTTATATGAATCCTCCTACCGGCCCCATGCGGCTCACGCCTGTAATCCCAGCACTCTGGGAGGCCGAGACGGGAGGATCGCTTGAGGCCAGGAGTTCGAGACCAGCCTGAGCAAGAGCGAGACCCTGTTTCTACTAAAAGTAGAAAAATTATCTGGGTGTGGTGGTGGCACCTGTAGTCCCAACTACACGGGAAGCTGAGGCAGGAGGATCGCTTGAGCCCTGGAGTGTGAGGCTGCACTGAGCTATGTTTGTGCCACTGCACTCAGTTGTGCCACTGGGTGACCGAGTGAGATCCTGTCTCTAAAAAAAAAAAAAAATTGTCCAGACATTGTGAAGTGTTCATGGGGAACAGAATTGCCCCTGTTCAAGAACTACTGGTCTAGATATTTCATCAGCTTCAAGTTCAATTGTTTTTTTGGCAAAGATTCCTTGTGGGTGGTGCCATGTCCTCCCAGAACTTGGAGGCCCATGGCATCTGATGATCTCTCTGTCCTTGACACGCCACATTGCATTGGGCGTCGTTCACTGTCTCTAGGCCCTTGGAAGCTCATTCTGTCAGTTTCCTAGAAGTGGAATTTCTGTGTCACATAAGGTAGGCAGTAAACACAGAGGACTCTTTAAGGAACAGGACAGAATCTCCAAAGGCCACTTTCAACAAGGATGTCGAGAAAACAAAAGCACGTGTCTGTTTGGGTTTCGAGATTCCATTGCACGGCTGTAGGCTGGAGGAACCTGCGCGGCTGCTGTTCTGTTTGCAGTGGTGGCTGCAGTCCAGCCATCCTCACGGAGGGCAGCAGGCTGTGACCTGGAGCCTTGCTTTCTTAGGCTCTGAGAGGCAGGTGGGCAAGCAGTGCAACACACCTTCACCATGGGCGCCAAGTGTGCGGCGCCTTTGTCTCCCCGTACCCACTTGGGGCATTTACATTCTGTGCAAGGTCGCCCCAACATGGGAATCTTAGCGAGTGGGGGAGCTCAGCCCTGTGGTGTGCTCCCAGCCCGTGTCAGGGTGCAGCCTCCCAGAGGTCGCAGGACGGGGCACCTGGCGTCTGCCTTGCTGAGCAGATCTGAGTTGTGTTCCCCCAGCTCTGGGTCTGTACAGGGCTCTGACTAGAGGTGAGGATCCGTTGCTTGCTCTCAGTACCTGATGTGGCCTCAGCTGCCTCGACCACAGTTGAATTGTCCCTCTGCGGCCTGATTTCTAAGGAAGAAAGGGAGCTGCTCATAGCACACTGGGACCGTCTGGTCACCATCTGGAGGACAGCTCTGTATTCAGGGAGGGCTTTTTCAGTTGAAAGGACCCAAAACCCTAACCCCAAGCCTAAGCTAAACTATGGCTTCCTCAAGGAAAGGGATCTATTAGCTAATGGAACTGAGGAGGCCATACAGCAACAGCTTCAGGCACAGTTTGATCCAGGAGGGCCTCCATCGCTCTCCATTTCTTGTTTTCAGGCTCCCTCTTGGGTTGCTTTTTAAGTGGGCAGCTCCCCTCCCTGTCCCTCCCCCAGGAGGGTCCCCAGTAGCTCTGGCAGAGAAAAAGGGCTTCTTTCTTCTCCACAGTCCATCAAAAGTCCCAGGGCTGATTCTCATTGGCCCAGCTCTGGTCACATGCCCATTCTTAAACCAATCACAGTGGCCGAGGGTGGACTGGGCTGATTGACCAGGCTGAGCCACATGTTCTGTCCTGGAAATGGGGTGGGCTGCAACACACTCAAGGCAAGTGGCCTAAGTCTGGGAGTGGAGGGAGAGAACTCTTCTCCGTAGGGTCCCGATGTTGGTCGGCGGCCGGTGGTCTGGCGTGCGCTGCATCCCCTCTCTGGGCCTCAGTGCTTGGCAGGCGGTGTGTGCCCAGCAGGTTGGTTTGTTCATCTGTTTAGTGAGCGCCTACTCGGCTCAGCCCAGCGTGCAGGGAATGCCTCTCACCGGCGTGACGTTTGAGCCAAGATCCGGGGCCCAGACACACGCATCTGGGGGGAGGGCGCTTCAGGCAGAAGGCGCGGCACGTGCAAAGTCCCCGAGGAGGAAGGGCAAAGCATGGGAGATGGATTGAGGGCGCCTCAGGCAGAAATTCGGATTTCGTCCGGCAACGTGACAGCGGCGAGCAGTTCGCAGCGGTTGTGACCCCTCTGGTGGTCAATCCCGAGCGCGTAACCGCCTCATTCCCACTCTGGGGCCAGGGCGCCTGGGTGCAGATCAAGCGCGGCCACTTGCCAGCTGTGCGACCTTGGGCCAGTTAATTACCAGTTGTGAGCCTCAGTTTCTCCACCTGTAAAATGGGGAGGACAATCATTCAGAACCCCACTGGGAGAAGAGAGCACAAGGGCACCTGGGGCTCAGTCCCAGCCTAGTACCTGTGCCCGCGAGGGGTCCACCCCAGGGATGGTGGTCTTGGCAGCCTGGGCTCAGCCGGTGGGGCTCCGGGGGCAGTGTGGGCTCTGGACTGAGGTGGCCCTCAGCGGTGGGGCGTCCGCTCTCCAGCTAGTCTTCCCACCGTGTGTGCCCGCTGAGGCTGGGAGAGTGGTATATCCTCTGAGAGGAAGCAGCGTGGGGTAGGGGGTCGTGGAGGGGCGTGGGGGACACCAACCACAGCCATTTGGATAGAAGCCGCGTCCTCAGCCCTTCGCGAAGGCTGAGCGCGTAGCAGAGGTAGACAGCGCCACCACCCGAGCGTGGGCTGTCACCATCCTCAGGCCGTCTCGCTCCCGAGATTAGCTCCCCAGGTGGGGCGGTCTTGGGGGGCTCTCCTGCGATCCGGGATCCCCGCACCCACAGGTAGTCCAGTATATCGGGGAGATCTGCCGCTATCTGCTGAAGCAGCCAGTGCGCGAGGCGGAGAGGCGACACCGCGTGCGCCTGGCGGTGGGCAACGGGCTGCGGCCGGCCATCTGGGAGGAGTTCACGCAGCGCTTCGGCGTGCGCCAGATCGGCGAGTTCTACGGGGCCACCGAGTGCAACTGCAGCGTCGCCAACATGGACGGCAAGGTGCGCACCGCCAGGGCGCGGGCAGGGCCGGTCCCTGCCTCTGCCTCCCAGGGTCCCGAGTGGCCACAGTGCGGAGGGTGGGCTCAGCCAGGGTGCACAGGGCGGGGTGTAGGCGACGTTCCTGGGACCTCCTCCCCTGTGTGCGCCCGGACGCTCAATGCAGGGACCTTCCTTCAGCCTGCATAGTCAGTTATGTCACTGTCACCTGGACTGGGGAGGGTTCGAGGCCACGGCAGCGTGGCTGTGTGTCCTGGACAAGTGCACGTCGTGATGGACGGGGAAAGCAGTGCTCGGGGGACCCAGGGCTGGGGTCGGGGCGCCTCTCCTCTGCTGGGCTAGTCACTCAGATTCCTTGGACCTCGGTTTCCTCATCTGTAAACAGGGCTAGCAACTCATTGTGCATATTTGAATCATGCGACGTCACGAGCCCAGTGTGCAGGGCAGATGCTTCCGTGATTGACAGCGACTTGCCGTAGTATCACCTTTCTCCTGCCCTGTGCGACTCTCCTCTCTCTTCCCAAGCCCCTCCCCCCACCGCCAGGAGCAAATCATGATCATAAATAAAGCAAGTGCCGCGTGGGCTGGGTCCCCAGTGCCAAGAACAATGCACAGTCCCCACCGGGATTATCTGTTGGATAGCCACCCCTCTGACGACGCCCTGGCAGCGCCAGCTCGAGTCGCCGTGTAACAAACACGCTCAGCAGCATGTGGTGCACAAACGCGCTGAACGAGCATTTCCATTTGTGGAACCACACCAGGCAGGGTGGCGGGAAGCAGGCAGAAACAGTGCACATGTCTGTCCCACGTGGCTCCGGGGACACCAGGCAGCCACTTCCTGCCAGCACAGAGGGTTTCATGGGCCAGGAAGTGGTGGCCAGCTGCAGGTCTCCTCGGGTGACTGCAAGGAAGGCTGGGAAGGCGGGAGGGGTGGGGGTGGGGACACTGCACTTACCACCCCCTTTTGCAGATCACCCAATGTCGCAGCTGAGAGTGACTCTAGGGATGCTAATACCAAGCTCTGGGGCAGGGGAGGCAGAGTGTCAGTGAGGAGGACCCCATGCCCCTGCCAGGCTCCGTGCCAACTCCGTTCTTCCCACCGCAGGTTGGCTCCTGTGGCTTCAACAGCCGCATCCTGCCCCACGTGTACCCCATCCGGCTGGTGAAGGTCAACGAGGACACGATGGAGCTGCTGCGGGACGCCCGGGGCCTCTGCGTCCCGTGCCAGGCTGGTGAGCAGGGCCCCCTCCTGGTTCCCCGGGGAGCTGGGGTCCCCGCCCCCTTCCCTCCCAGCACAGCCTGAGTGCGGCCTCCTCCCCAGGGGAGCCCGGCCTCCTTGTGGGCCAGATCAACCAGCAGGACCCGCTGCGCCGCTTCGATGGCTACGTGAGCGAGAGCGCCACCAACGAAAAGATCGCCCACAGTGTCTTCCGCAAGGGCGACAGCGCCTACCTCTCAGGTGCACAGCCCACAAGATCCCAGGGGCTGGCTGTGAGGATGGGGGGCCGCCATCCACCTCCTCTTTTCCCCTCTGCCAGGTGATGTGCTGGTGATGGATGAACTTGGCTATATGTACTTCCGGGACCGTGGTGGGGACACCTTCCGCTGGCGCGGGGAGAATGTCTCCACCACCGAGGTGGAGAGCGTGCTGAGCCGCCTGCTGGGCCAGACAGATGTGGCCGTGTACGGGGTGGCCGTGCCAGGCAAGCTGGGGTTGCAGGACTTGGTTCTGGAGTATGGCAGCCCCAAGGGAGCACAGCCAGAAGGGGCTAGGAGGTCCAGGTGCTTTTGGGCAGTGCACAACCTGGACAACTGCACGTGGCAGCCTGGTTGGAAGCATGGGATCTGAAGTCAGGTCACATGAGTGATGTCGAACCTTGGTATTGTCATCCAGGAAATGGGATCATGAAAGCAACCCTGTCTAAGGGCCGCAGGGAACAAAGCAGGAACTCCATAAAATGTTTGCTGTTTTGGCGAATGTTATCCCAGGTGGGGAAAGACCAGAGATCAGAGACCAGGCAGGGGCCACTGTTTAGGGGTGTATCTGGTCCTGCTGCTGGGGGTGGGGTGTTCTCAGCTGAGCTCTGTCTGCAGGAGTGGAGGGTAAAGCAGGGATGGCAGCCATCGCAGACCCCCACAGCCAGCTGGACCCCAACGTGATGTACCAGGAGCTGCAGAAGGTGCTGGCACCCTACGCCCGGCCCATATTCTTGCGCCTCCTGCCCCAGGTGGACACTACAGGTGCGCCCACCCCCAGCCTCTCTCCATTCATCCATTTGTCTGTTGGTGGATGTCTTAGTCGCTCGGTCCCTCCCACACTGGGGATCAAATTTCAACATGAGTTTGGTGGGGACAAACCACAGCATAGAACCCAGTACTTTCGTCCTCATTCAGGGCCCTGCTCTGAGGCCGACCTGGCGTCCGCGGCCGGCCAGGCACGTGGGCTCACGTGGGGCTCTTGGCGTTTTATTTATGCATTTGTTTGTTTCCATTTCTCACTCCCACTCCCGCTAAGCGTCCTGGAACACTCGGTGCATTGGTTCGTTTTCTGCGTTTCCTGATAACTAGGAAAGTTGAGTGGATCATCTCGCGCCTCCTGGGTGTCCTCTCAAATCGTCTGTTCCCGTCGCTCACCGTCTTTGTGTTGGCTGTCATCTGCTCTCTGATTGACGGGAGTCGCTCGTAATAGTCTGAGCGTTAATTCCTCAGCAATTTCAGACGTCATAAGTCTCTTCTCTTTTTATTGAGTCTCACTGTTAACTTTGTCCATGGTGCCCTTTGTTAAAAAAGAAACTCTGAATTTTGATACAAATTTACTCATCTGGGCGTGGTGGCGCGTGCCTGTAACCCCAGCTACTTGGGAGGCTGAGGCGGGAGGATCGCTTGAGCCCAGGAGTTTGAGACCAGCCACGGTGATATAGTGAGACCCTGTATCAAAAAACAAACAAACAAGCAAATTTATCCTTTTTCTTTAACCTTACAGTTTGTGCTTTTGAAGTTCTGTTTTTAAAAATTACTTTCCCAGGCCGGGCGCGGTGGCTCACGCCTGTAATCCTAGCACTCTGGGCGGCCAAGGCGGGCGGATTGTTTAAGCTCAGGAGTTCGAGACCAGCCTGAGCAAGAGCGAGACCCCGTCTCTACTAAAAATAGACAGAAATTAGTTGGACAACTAAAAATATATATAGTAAAAATTAGCCGGTGGTGCATGCCTGTAGTCCCAGCTACTCGGGAGGCTGAGGCAGGAGGATCGCTTGAGCCCAGGAGTTTGAGGCTGCTGTGAGCTATGATGATGCCACAGCACTCTAGCGTGGGTGACAGAGTGGGACTCTGTCTTCAAAACAAAACAAATAAAATAATAAAATAATAATAAGAATTTTTAAAAAATTACCTTCCCAATTCTAGATCACAAAGGTATCGTCCCTTGCTTTCTTCTACTAACCATAACTCTTAGCATATTTTTCACAAAACCATTTCATAATCGTCCAGTGTGGGAGGTGCCAACTTTTTCTTGAAGGACCAGAGAATCAATATTTTCAGGTTTGCAGGCCACACGGTCTGTGTTGCAAGCACTCAACCCTGCCAGGGTGACAGGGAAGTAGCCATACACAATGTATAAATGAATGGGCATGGATGTGTGCCAATAAAACTTTATTTACAAAAACTTGGGGTGGGCCAAATTTGGCCTACGGGGCATAGGTCGCTAAACTCTAATAACCCACTGTGTGACAGACAAAACCCTGCCTCAGTCGTGTGCAGGACGGACACGTGGCCAGGCAGGGAGCACACAGACTTTCTTGCTGTGGTGGGGGTGGTCGGGGAGGCCTCTCTGGAGGAAGGGGCATGAAGCTGGGATTTGAAGGACAAAGGGGAATCTGGCTAAATAGGGAAGAAAGTTCCTGCCAGGACGGCCTTTGCGGAGGCCCAGAGGTGCAGAGTGGGTGGTGGGTTGGGGGCTCCTGCAAGCCCCTGCTCAGCCATCGTCCCCCACCCCCACCCCACCGTCACCCAGGCACCTTCAAGATCCAGAAGACGAGGCTGCAGCGAGAGGCCTTCGACCCCCGGCAGACTTCGGACCGGCTCTTCTTCCTGGACCTGAAGCAGGGCCGCTACCTGCCCCTGGACGAGGGCGTCTACACCCGCATCTGCTCGGGCGCCCATGCCCTCTGATCCTTCTCCCCGGCCAGCCAGACTCCCCGACCCAAGGACCTGCGCGGGGCTGCCTCTCGCACGGCCTGGCGGGCTGCACCTGGTGGCCGTCCTGGGGCTGAGACTGGCGCCTCAGCCGAGCCGCTGCTCCTGCCCACTGTCGCGCTCCCGTGTCTGTGTGTCTCGCGCCCTCCCTGCCCCACGTCCCTTCTGGCCTCATCTCCCCCCTCTCCTCCATCCCACCTCCTCTCTCCGCCAACAGCGGTCAGACGTTTCTTAGGAGCCCCCTCGGCTGTGCCTTAAGGAGCCCCAGCCCGGCCTCGGCTGCCGGGCCCAGAGTCTCGTGTGAACTCCAAGCAGGCCCTGTGCCTTCTGTGCTGGGCGGAGGAGCCGGGGTCGTCTTCCTGGTCTGCCCGGGTGTGTGGGGACAGTGGCAAGTGGTCCCCAGGTCAACTGGAAATGTCTCCCAGGCTGGGCCGACTGCCTTTTTTTTTTTTTGTACTTCGCCATTCCTGGTGGGTTTCCCTGGCCCCACCTTTCTCTCCCGATGCCTTGGAAGCTTCCAGGATTGACTATGACCCCTTGGACGCTGCCACTGCTGGGCCCTGCCTGGATGCCCCTGTTCAGGCATCTCCTTGGAACTCCTGCTGGAGGGCCCCGAAGGAAGGCGGGGCTGGGTGGCTCTAGCAGACTGCTTACTGTCCCTGGTGGAGGCCTCTGTGGCGTCCCCACCTAGCGTGGCTGCTGGATGGACCCATGGGAGCGGCAGTGGTGGGGTCGGGGGAGGTCTCCTGCCCGGGATGGCATCTGCAATGGCCTTGGGTTCTAGTCCTCGGATGTCCCCACTGGCTGTGCTACGGATGGCTCGGACAATCCCGCCAAGATGGCGCAGACATACCCATCGGTGGCTCTTCTCAAGACACCTGAGGCCAGTCTCACTGGGGTGGCCGCCCAGGCCACCCACCCGTCTCCCCTCGGCAGTACCATCCATCCCTGGAACGGGCTGGCAGTGAGCCACTGTGCTGCCTCACTCGGACCTTTCCAAGCACTGAGGTTTTGATTCCCAACTGGTTTTAAGAAATAAACCTGCAGAGCTTCTGGCACCTGTTGGGAGACCAGTCGTTATTGTCTGTCCCCATGTGGCGCAGAACCCTTGCTGAGTTGTAGGAGGCAGGCCGGGCCCCCACCCCTCCGGGAAGTACAGGCTCCAGACCTGAGTCAGACACAGATAGGGGGCCAGCCCCCCTGCAAGACCGAGGGGGCCTTGGGAAGGAGCGTTAGTGTTCGCACCGCCCTGCTGACGGGGAGCTGCCTCCCTGCAGCCCCTGGGGCCTCCCAGCCCTGGGATGGCCTCGGTGGTTCGAGGAGGGATGGGCCACCTGCCTGTGGGTTCCTGCAGGTGCCCCTCCGTGTATGGGCCAGCTGGTGCTCTGGGCGAGTTCCTAGGCCTGCCCTGGAGGCCATCTGAGTCAGGATTTGAACCTGAGACACCCAGCTCTGGAGCCTGTACAGTAGTTCCCTTTTATCTGCAAGGGATATACATGCCAAGAGCCCCAGTGGATGTCTGACACCAAGTTTAGTATTAACACTTACATATACTGTGTTTTTATACATCTGATAACCGAGATGGCTACTAAGTGGCTAATGGGCAGGTAGCGTAGACAACGTGGATACATTGGACAAAGGGATGACTCACGTCCCTGGCAGGACAGAGGTGGATGGTGAGATGCTACTCAGCACAGTGCGCAACTTACACTTGTGAATTGTTAGCTGGGCATGGTGGGGTGTGCCTGTAATCCCAGCACTTTGGGAGGTTG